CAACTCTACCATTCATCCACCACAACCAGCCAACTCTACCATTCATCCACCATAACCATCCAACTCTACCATTCATCCACCATCCACCCAGCTCTACCATTCATCCACCACAACCATCCAACTCTACCATTCATCCACCATAACCATCCAACTCTACCATTCATCCACCATAACCATCCAACTCTACCATTCATCCACCATAACCATCCAACTCTACCATTCATCCACCACAACCATCCAACTCTACCATTCATCCACCATAACCATCCAACTCTACCATTCATCCCTATAACCACCACTCTACCATCCAACTCTACCATTCATCCACCATAACCATCCAACTCTACCATTCATCCACCATAACCATCCAACTCTACCATTCAACCACCATCAACTCTGCCACTCATCCAACTCTACCATTCAACCACCATAACCATCCAACTCTACCATTCAACCACCATAACCATCCAACTCTCTACCATTCATCCACCACAACCATCCAACTCTACCATTCATCCACCATAACCATCCAACTCTACCATTCAACCACCACAACCATCCAACTCTACCATTCAACCACCATAACCATCCAACTCTACCATTCAACCACCACAACCATCCAACTCTACCATTCAACCACCACAACCATCCAACTCTACCATTCAACCACCACAACCAGCCAACTCTACCATTCATCCACCATAACCATCAAACTCTAAAGCCACAGTAAAAGTTATCATGTTACTACTATTTATGAAATATTAGTTCTTGACTCGTAATGGTTCCATTAGTTTACTTAAATCTGAAGGGAAGGGTATGCCCTCAGTTAATTCATGCAATTGATCACATTTTGCCTGAGCCAATCTGTGTTTGATAATTTCGATGTAGTCCCATCGTAGCATAGGGACTAGCTAAGAAAGATGCTTGGTTATCAGCCTAGACATAAGAAATATCTACAAACGGCATGCTTCGTCACAAGGTTTGATAGTGTTTCTCCAAACCCTGTTGAAAACAGGTAATTTAGCTTGAAATACTCAAAGATGTTGCATATCTGACCTTTCTAAAAAAAATACAATTTTAAAAAGACAACATTTTCATAAGTATAGTTAACTCCGGACAGTATTTCATGTTTGCAATAGGTTATATAACGTCGACCAGTCTGATCTTGTTCTGTCAAACCTTGGCTGGTTTCCATATGCCCTGCATCAGGCTTCTCTAGTGCCTGTATCTGAAACAATAAATGTTGAAGTTGTCTTGGTGGTGTTATATCAGAATATCCTACCATTGTTCAAACTTTATGCGTGTCATTACCTGCCTCCCCGACCACACTTTACACATAATATGTGCACTCGGTATCATCGCGTAACCTACTTTCTGTTGTCATTGATGTTAGATATATATTCATAGACAAGTACACAGCATAGTCCAGGCCTCAGCAGAGCAGGGATAGCTTCACATGTCTACCATACAACTTACTGACAGGTAACCTAAGGCTTTGAATGTTGTAGCACTGATCAAACAACCCTAGAGTTGTATGAACATATCTACAAAGCCCTGTATAAATTTTATTGATACCTTCAGTGCACAAAGGAATATTGCTTTTGATTAGCTCAGTATACTCACTTCACAATTTCAGTATTTAAGTATACTTTACAACTTCAGAGTGTAACGGGATATTTTCCTGATGCCTTCAGTGTATAACGGAATATTTACCTGATGCCTTCAGTGTATAACGGAATATTTACCTGATGCCTTCAGTGTATAACGGAATATTTACCTGATGCCTTCAGTGTATAACGGAATATTTACATGATGCCTTCAGTGTATAACGGAATATTTACCTGATGCCTTCAGTGTATAACGGAATATTTACCTGATGCCTTCAGTGTATAACGGAATATTTACATGATGCCTTCAGTGTATAACGGAATATTTACCTGATGCTTTCAGTGTATAACGGAATATTTACCTGATGCCTTCAGTGTATAACGGAATATTTACATGATGCCTTCAGTGTATAACGGAATATTTACATGATGCCTTCAGTGTATAACGGAATATTTACATGATGCCTTCAGTGTATAACGGAATATTTACATGATGCCTTCCTCGAGTGTATAACGGAATATTTACATGATGCCTTCAGTGTATAACGGAATATTTACATGATGCCTTCAGTGTATAACGGAATATTTACATGATGCCTTCAGTGTATAACGGAATATTTACATGATGCCTTCAGTGTATAACGGAATATTTACCTGATGCCTTCAGTGTATAACGGAATATTTACCTGATGCCTTCAGTGTATAACGGAATATTTACCTGATGCTTTCAGTGTATAACGGAATATTTACCTGAGAAGTGAAGCGTATAAAGGATTAGTTTGCTAATATTTGTTTACACGAAGAAAAATAAATGAATAAGAACAGATGAATATTTACCCGATATTTCAGAGCATTTACCTTTCTCTCTGCTGCTTCCCTTGCCATCTTTTCTTCTGGAAACAGAATAACTGTTTTACAACAAGTAACTATATGTCAAAGTAAATGAGCTCTTAACGAATAGCTCAATATTACTTCATATTCGTGGAAGTATTCTGTAAGGATAAACTGTTTATAATGTTACACATTCGGCAGTTTTCCTGTGGCCTGTCAAGAGTCATATCTGTGTCAGGAAAACCCAGAAAACAGCTGAAGGCAAAGCGCCTATGGTTGACGATCAAGAAGGTAATGCATGTTTTAGACGCAGTTTGCTTTTATGAATTGCTTTACTTTTTATGTATGAATCACACCTTTCAGCTGGTCTTGCACTTTCTTCAACGTGTTATCATAGTGTTTCGCCATCTATAACGAAACGCATTGCATAAATATAAATGCTTTGTTGCTTTTAATACGTAACTACACGCATGCGTATTACTTAGTGCATAAAATCAAACAACACGCACACACGTACGCACACACACACACACACACACACACACACTGCAATGATGTATTATCTAACTTGTCTCAACTGCCCAGGTTATCCACAAGCTATAACATTTGATCAGCAATCAGTATAATTATCCTTATATTCGCCTACGCAGCAGTCTTAATCATGAGAACATCTGTTGACAATCACACTAATGTGAGGACTGTAACAGTTTACAGGACTTACTTGTGTTTGGTGTACTTGTAGCTCTCTCACTGTATCTGGAGATAATATAAAGTTATTTCAAAACGCATACTCACATTTGTTATTCATATTTACACATAGTTTGACCGTGTTATAGAGCCTGTGTTGGAGAGTACTTCGTATGGAATCCTTGGAGGGACATTGTCGCGTTGTCGCCATCTCAAAAACATGCAAAACGAGGACAAAATTAACCATAGCGCGCCACGCGACAATGCGACAACGCGACATTTCGGCCATTTGTCGCGGTGTCGCGATGTCGCCCTTTTCGATTACCGGTGCGCATGTGTAGAAAGTCAATTAGTCTACGAATGTACTGAAAAAGTTATACTGTCTCTATTTAAGACTTCAGTGGTCTTTTGTTACCTCTAGTGGTTTAAAAATGAAGTAGTACTCGTAATGGCAAATTGGGTCTGCAAATCTTTCATTGTATCCTTAAAAATTATTTCATATGTTGTAAATGTATTTAGCCAGTCAAGGTGTTTTAGCAGCAAGACAAATTATAAGCGCTTCTATTCATTGTAATGACGGCACACGGTGGCCCTGTCATTTTTGGTGGGGCGGTGGGGTAGCTGTGCAGGGTTGCGTCTCTTAGTCGAACCAGAAAACTATGATCATAGGTTCGAATCCCAGTACCATACACATTCATCACTTAGGACATTTCACCAAAATCAAGCTGACAGGCTGTGAAAAACTTAAATATTGTTAAAATTCAGGCCACATCGGAATAAACATCAGGTGAAGTCCTCGAATGGGTGACTATGGGAGTTTCTTGGGACAGTCCTGTCCTATGCTGATGAATTTGTATTTTCTGTGCCTCTGTTGTTTTAGCCAGCAGTGGATAGATACCAGGTAGAATGAGATGGTAATATAGCTTAACCCTCTAGCACCTCAAACACAGCTTAGGTCGCAATCTCCCATTGGGAACTGAGAATTGTCGGTGTAATAAAGGCTTTGAACGTGATATTCTGCTTGAAAAAACGACATACAATTGGACTGTTGTAATTATGATATAAAGAACGATGAATTCGCTTGCAGAGTGGCGTAACATAGGAGTGCCAGAAACCTATACTCACTCACTCACTCACTCACTCACTCACTCACTCACTCACTCACTCACTCACTCACTCACTCAAGGCTTAGGGAGCTTGGTAAATTAGCAAGGTATTTATTTCATCACAATAATGTGTTGTTAAGTTTGTTTTTCAATTCTATTTGAACCCTGTATAATTAATCCTGCACATGCCATGAATCACAATACATCGAGATACCATACCCAGCGATACACATGTACCTGTATCGTTTCAAACATAATAATTTTCATCAAAATGGCCAGTTTGAATACATCCATTCCATTAACCAACCACCCTTAATCCACAGACTTCATGCTTGTGACACTTTTTAAATTCAGCAGTAACTAATACGACGCGACAATGCGACATTTTGATGAAATGTCGCGTACGTTGTCTCAGTGTCGTGTGTCGCTCTTTGTTAAAATATTGTGTATACTATGTATAATACCGTATTGACTACAAAATGCCACACGCGACACTGCGTCAAGACGAGGGTCAGTACAGTGTTGTGGAGTGAATACCACGATACCACTTCAGAAAACAGAACGAACGCAATATTGCCCAAGGGAAATGAATTTGAAACAACCAATCGTGTGAAGTTAAGAAATATATCATCATGCCCAACGTCCTTTAAGTTATTTTAGCCTAGTGGAAGCAATTCTATCATTTCTTTCACAGAACCTCCATCGAAACTCCCACATGCAGGAATAACAATTGTCGATGAGATCCGAAAGCTGGCTTCATACGAGCAAAATGTTTTTGTATTCCTATCTAGTTCCTCTGTTAACTCATTCATTGACAAGGCTTGCATCTGGTCAAACGGTTGTATCCCATAACCCCTACATGCCACTACCCCCACAGCCCAGTACCCCTACAATTAGTTAAAACAACAGACGGCATTTACGTGTCTGGCAAAATGAACTGACCCAAAGACTGACTGACTGACTGAGTTTAGTTTTACGCCGCTTTTAGCAATATTCCAGCAATATCACGGCGGGGGACACCAGAAATGGGCTTAACAAATTGTGCCCATGTGGGGAAACTAACCCGGGGCCTTCGGCGTGACGAGCCAACGCTTTAACCACTAGGCTACCCCACCGCCCCTGACCCAAAGAGAGATTAGTGCATAGAGTATACAGATGAGATCAAGGGAGGGATTAAACTGTTCTTTAGTGTTTTGTGTCAAGGAATTTTGGGATTAGCTAAAAGTTGTTTTAGTTTCATGATGAAAGATAAACCTCTAGTGAGTAGAACAATTTTACAAATTGGATAATGTGTAGGTTGTTAAATGTTGAAATTAAGTTGTTTAAGTGCCATGATAAAAGATACACAGTATTATTGAGAAGTGGAGGGAAATGAGAAGGTGAGACGAGAAAGTAAATTGAGATAGTTCGGTATAGTATATAGCTGTTGACAACAAACTAACAAGGCATCAACATGGCTGGTCTGCGTAATGTTGAGTTTGTTATGTCACGGAGAGGTAGCCCCCAAGTCCTATTTGACGGTTATCTTCACACTGAGAATGTCGAGAGACAGTCTTGTGTACACTGGAAGTGTGTTCAGTCAACATGCAGAGGAAGAGTCACAACTGTTGGCAATGTTGTAAGGAATACGACAGAACATAATCACCCACCAGAGGATAGTCAGAAGGTCCGGTTTGTCAGCAGCCTGAGGAAGAGAGCCAGGGAGGAGTCAACACAGATGCGCACCATCTACAACGACGAGCTCACCAACCTGACCAATGATGAGACACGCACGATGCCATCCTTTCCATCCATGTGCAGCGCCCTGTACCGCCACCGCCAGAAGACGATTCCTGTTTTACCACAGACGAGATCAGAAGTCGACCTTCAAGATCCCTGGACGCAGACAGCAGATGGTCGACCATTCCTCCTGTTTGCTGACGGCGATGATGACAAGATCCTGGCATTTGGCACCCAACAGAGCATTCAGGCCTTGCAGTCAGCCGAGAACATCTACATGGATGGAACATTCACTGCCTGCCCTGCACTATGGAATCAAGTCTACATCATACATGCCAGACGTGGGACCACCACATATCCCCTCATCTTCGCCTTACTTCCCGACCGCCAGACGACGACCTACTCCAGACTCTTCCAGAATTTCCAACTGCTGTCGTGAAGGGTTGTTTCTTCCATTTCTGTCAAGCCATTTGGAGGAAGGTTCAGGATCTTGGACTGGCTGTTGCCTACAAAGAAAACCCCGAAGTAACCAAGTGGATCAGGAGACCAGCTGGGCTACCTCTACTCCCTCAAGACACGGTCCAGGAGACGTGGGTAGAAGCCATGGACGACACTCCAGACTTCCCAAGAGCAATCGACTTCAACGATTACATCGTGACAACCTGGGTCGACGACACAGCCACATTTCTACTTCCCCTGTGGAACCACAACCTGACAACTGTGCCGAGGACAAACAACAATCTAGAAGGTTTTCACAACCGACTGAACCGTGAAATTCCACACAGGCATCCGAACATATACAGATTTGTAGAAGTCATTAGGAGAATTGAACATGCCGAGAGGGTGAAGATTTCACAAATAGACTTTGGTGCTGCGACAAGAAGCAGAAAGCAAGTCTTCAGGGAGATTGACAATCGCCTGTGCAGCTTGAGTTTGGACAGAAATCACCTCTTCAGTTCTTGGACGCCGTCGGCTATCTGCTTAAGCTGGGATAGATTGAAACACTGAATGTTCACAGACTGAAACACTTGACACAAATAATGTTAACAATTAATTGTTAATGTCCATCAAAGAATCATGATGACGAATTATTGTTAGTTCTTATTAAAATCTTGATGATGACAAATAATGATCACTTTTCATTAAAATCATTCTCTCAACCTTTTAGTTGTGTGTGGTTATGTCTCTTGAGTGGATTAGTCCATTGTGTGGAGTAGGTAACAGGCAGTGGATTAACAGTGCAACAGACCGTAAACTATGTTGTTATAAGCTGTAGGGGTAGTGGCATGTAGGGGTAATGGGGGGTTACCGGTCAAACACACACACACACACACACACACACACCTTTCATATCACATTTAAACTTTTTCTTAAGGGGACTGAAAACTTCTATGTGAAATTTTGGGTTTGAAGATAACAATTTTTAAGGTAAGATATTAGAATTTGTATTTTAATTTACTGGACGGGTGACTGATAGTGTTGAAAGAATTTGTCCGAAAATCACAATAATAACAAACTGAAGTGTTCTTTTAGTCGACCTGTGTTGAATT